GAAATTCCTAACATTGCAAACTAATTTTTATCGTATCTGTTTGTTTTGCTAAAAACAATTTTATCAAATGCGTACATAACTTAATTTCAACAAAAAAAGGAAGAAAAAAATTTATTAGTCACCTCCTTTTCCTTAAATAAAAAAATATATAAATCGATAAAAATTTAAAAAAAAGGAACTGATACAGCCTCATACTTGCATAAAGGCGTTTAAGAAAAGGTTACACGCCAAGAAATGATAATATTACTTAATGAAATGCAGCCAAAACTGATAATATTACTTAATGAAACTATGTAATAACAAGTCACGTTTAACAGTTCAATGTTGTAAGTAATAGGAATGTGAATTGTGCACTAATGTGATATTTAATTCAAAAGTATTAGTACAGATTAGAACTCAACATCTTACAAAACCAGATTAAATCAACTATTATAATTTTGAGAAGGAAATGTGGATAACAGGATCATTACAAAAATGTAATTTTCATATTAATACTGCTTTTTTAAGCAACTCGACACAGAATTTTTTTTTTACTTTTTATGCATTTTATAGATATCAATTTCTTGTACATTGATCGGTCTAATTAAAAAATTTAAAAATTTTTTGCACATTTTTTGTAAATTTTTTTGTGTTATTAAATGCTGAATAATTTTCAGGCGACCCATAAGAAAGTTACCACCCTGAATAACTTTTACTCTAATGATCGGATTTTCAATTATTGAATGTCAATCTTAATAGTTCAAAAAGCGAATCTTAAATATATTAATTAATTTTAGTGCTAACTACTGATTAAGTTACGAAATTGGACACAAAAACGAACATTCTTTGAATAAGCATAACTTTTCTTTTCTCTTTTTTTAAATTTTTTTTTGAAACCGTCATTGAACAGCCGACCCAAATTTTATGAGTTTACGACTACTAATGTTCAACTCAGAAGCTTTGTAATTTTGAACCCAATCTAGAAGACAAGGGAACTCCTGGATCGAGTATTGGGAGAAATTTGCCTTCGTGGAGGACTTTTTGATGGAGCTAACCCGCATTTGCGTTACATGGAGAGGAAGACCACGAGATCCTCCCACGATTATCCTCACGGAAAGGGGACTCTAATCCATGATCCATCTACCACTGAGGATGTTTCACGTGAGCACTGTGGTCTGTGCAAGCCGGATGAGGAATTCGTATCGACTGGGATTCGAACCCGGTTCGCCTCATTGGAAGCCGAACGCTCTATCCCCTAAGCCATCGCAGCTAAACCTCTCTTTTCGACAGAATTCGAATTTTTAAAAAAAATATAGTGGATATCTGGAAAACATAGTCCAATATTTTAGTCTGTAGAGTGGCTCATATTTGGCCACCTTTATGTCAGTCGGCTTTTCGCGTATTTCACCATATCCCGGAAATTTTTTAAGCGAATCAAAAACTTTTTTGTACAGAATTACAAAATTTGTTTATCTAAGAATACTTGAATGCACTCAATAATACAGTCAATAATACAATTAATTAATACTTTAATAAATAAACATCTAAAACAATGTATTGATTTTTTTGAGTTATAAAATTTTAAAAAAGCCAATTTTTCTTTCCCCAAAATTATTTAATTGCTTTCGTTCAAATTTGGCATTTGTCCTCTAAAAATTACACGTTTTGAAGTAATAAAAAATTGGTATATCTCACAGTTCTAAAATTTTTCGTTCATTTTTAAATAAAAAAATTTTAAAAAAAATCGCAATTATTTATCGTAATTTAATTAACAGTAAACACTGATTAATTAGCATCTCTTAAATCAACCATGCTAAGTCATTGAGAATGGCACTTAGTACATGGAATTCGAAACGTTTCAATGTAACATAAAATGCATCAAATAATAACTAAATACAACAAGGGAAGCTGAACTAGTTTACTTCTTTTACATATTTTCTATTCACTGTGCAGATAATTTTTTCACGTTATTGATATTTAACTAGACAAAAAAATTTTATTTGTTAAAGATGGTTTCGTTCATTAAAAATCCCTTTCAATAGTGACAGACAAAATATGATATATATTAAGAATTAATTATACCCTTCTTCTGCTCTAAGCCGATTTGATTATTTTCGTCACTCGAAGCATATCAATCTTTACGTGGAAAAGAATCTTACGCATTGTGAACATGCAAAGATATGGAGAGCTAGCTTACGTATTGTGAAGTAAGCTATTACTTACTATAAGCCTTACTTACATGCCTTATTACTGTAAAAGTGAAGAGTTACTGAAGTATTGTGAAGGTGAAGGTTTTATTGACAGAGAGTAATCTTATTTTATATTATATAACCGTCGTTGAACACCCGACCCAATTTTTGGGTTCACGACTGCTAATGTTCAACTCCGTAGCCTTGTAATTTTGAACCAATCTAGAAGACAAGGAAACTCCTGGATCAGTGCCCCCAGAGGTATTGATTTGTTATGGGAACGTAGAGAACTTTGCGACTCGACAGATTTAACGTGCATCAGCCACCATTTACTACAAGGGTAGTCTTCGGCCGGCAGGTATCGAACCCAAGAACTCTTGGACATGGGCCCAGCACCCTACTGCGGCTATCCCAGCCTTAGAATAATCTTAGGTCATTAAAAATAAAAAATAAAAAAAAGAAGGAAAAAAGAAACTAGCCAGTCTAAATAACTTTTAATCTAATAATCGGGTTTTCACGCACTAGGACACAAACTAAATTGTTCGCAAAGGAGGGGAGGAGAAACCTCAAATATACTAATTAATTTTTGCAGACGATATTATGTGTTTCTCAGACACAAAAAAGTATTTTCTCTAAATAAATTCACCCTTTTTTGTCAGCACCCCTTTTTTGTCAAAATATTAATAATATGCAATATCTCGTAGTATGAAAGGCATAGTTTGGAAAAAATTCGTAGTTCTGATAGATTCTTGTTTAGAATTCGCAAGAACTGCAGCGGGCATTGTAGATTTTTTTAATCTTTAGTACATAAATTTTGGACAATTTTTCTGTTCTTTAACTTTTTGATTTCTATCAGCTTTTATGAAATAATGTTTTTTTTTCTTTTTTAATTATTGATAAAGGATTTATTTTAGACGTAAGCAGAAGATACGTCTTTTAAAGCGTCAACTTTCTTTTCTTCTAAATTATTGTGTATTTATGAATGAATATACGTAGAAAAACAGTGCAAACAAAAAAAAAATTATATATTAAAATAAATCGATTTTATGAATGGAATTATTTTCCAATTTTTCATTAAATGAGAAGAGCGTAATAAGTAGTACGGTGTAAATTTATAAAATAAGTAAATAAATAAATAAAAATAAATAAAAAATTGACTGAACTTATTTTAAAATTCAATAGCAAAGAAAAAAATTTCCAAAATAAATTTTTTTTCCATTTTCATTTTTTCATTAAAAAAAACGTATTACCTATTCTTTCACGATTTTATGGGCTTTTATTTTTTCTTTTCATAAATCAACAAATTATTTCAAATATTTTTCAAGCTGCAAACTAAGGAACTAAATGCCTAAAATAATATGCGCACCTCCATATTTTTGTTCTAGACAAACCTCTTTACAAAAAATAAATTTGAAAAAATTATTTAACGCATAAATAAATTTAATATAATTGAAAATTATTTAAAAATTTATATGTACTTTTTTAAATATTAGAAGCACCTCATTGATAAAGAAATATTATTATACAAATATAATTATTATTATCTTATTATTTTGTTTTTTACACTCAAGAATATTTATTCTAAAATCTAAAAGGGAAAAAAAAGGATTCGAATTTCTTAAAATGTACTACATTGTCTATAAAATGAGAAATGTCTAAAATATTGTAACAATTTCAGTTGCTTGTTATAATCTAAAACTATGTAAAACATTCTTTCTTGTTTATTTCTTTAAAAAGCTAAAAGACGCAAACGATTTTTGTTTAAGAACAATTCTTTTATTTAATGACGGAATTTGCGTGAACTCAATAAAAAAGAAGCAAATGTTTCTGCGCGTTTTATTGGAAACAAACATGTGTACGTAAATATTACTCAATGTTTCGGACTGCAAAATAAGATAAATTACCAATACCATCTAATTTTAAATATAAAATTCAGAATAAGTAGTAAATTATTATAGTTTGAAATCTTTGGAACAAAAGTTTTTATATGTTTCAACATCGTCTGCAATNTAAAAAATTACGTACCTCCTTATTTTGTTTCTAAACAAGCCTCTTTCCAAAAAATAAATTTTAAAAAAATTATTTAACTCATAAATAAATTTAAGATAATTGAAAATAATTTAAAAATTTATATTTTTTCTTTTAAAATATTTAAAAAAAAATTAGAAACAGGTCATTGATAAACAAATAGTATTATACAAATATAATTTTTATTATCTTATTATTTTGTTTTTTACACGCAAGAATATTTATTCTAAAATCTAAGGGGGAAAAAAGGATTCGAATTTCTTAAAATGTACTACATTGTCTATAAAATGAGAAATGTCTAAAATACTGTAATAATTTCAGTTGTTTGTTACAATCTAAAACTATGTAAAAAATTCTTTCTTGTTTATTTATTTAAAAAGCTAAAAGACGCAAAAGATTTTTGTTTAAGAACAATTCTTTTATTGAATGACGGAATTTGCATGAACTCAATAAAAAAAGAGGCAAATATTTCCGCGCGTTAAATTGGAAACAAACATGTGCACGTAAATATTACTCAAGGTTTCGGACTGCAAAATAAGATAAATTACCAATACCATCTAATTTTAAATATAAAATTCAGAATAAGTAGTAAATTATTATAATTTGAAATCTTAGGAGCAGAAGTTTTTATATGTTTTAACATCGTCTGCAATGCAATTATCACAATTATTTATAGTTTTCAATGCTATAATGAAAATGGTATTAATTGTTTGCGACATAATGGATAGATAAGAACTTAAGAGTAGTATAAAATGCATTTATTTAAAGCATGCCAAAAATAAAAAATTATTATTTATAACTTACCTCTCAGTTATACTTAGAATCCATTCCGATAAATAAAAAGTCGTTTGCAACAAACAGTCAATAAAATTAACTTTAAAAAAATAATTATGTAATCACTGTAAAAATTGTTTCTTGCCACCTGATGACTATAGATTATGAACAGAGGGACATTCCACATACTATCTAGTCCTCACTCTTCCATTTGAAGTGTTTGCTGCAACTGGACGATTCTATGGTCCCCGCGCTGGATCACGTGGATACCGGAGGGACGCTAATCAGTAGGGGGGCGGAGATTCTTGCGACAGTAAGGGGCGTGGCCCTGCGACGGAGGGGGAGGAAGACAGAATCGACGTTTTCTACATCTTGCGCTTCTTTTTCTTGGATGACGTTCTCATATTTTATTTATTTATTTTTTTTTTTCTTCTACATAAATTTTTGAGATTTTCTTTTGTTCAGTTTTCTGATCAGAAGGGTTGTCTCTTTTCCTCCGCGCGATAAAAGAAAGAGGAAGCCTTGGAGCATAAATTAAATTTGAAATGCGTTTCCTTCTTTTCAAGAAATTCTCCGAACTACGGAATTCTACAGAAAATCGTATGCATTTTGTTGCTAAATTTAAGTTTATCGCTGGAGAGAAATTGGAAACTTTGAAAATATCTTCACGAATCATTACATTTCGCTTATCGTGTGATTTTTAGTAATCGTTACAGTATTTGTACATTGATTTACTCTAGCCAAAACTTTCTTAAGTATTTTGTATTTTAAAAGCTTTTAAGAAAATTCCCAAGATAGTTCTCTCACTATTTACCAATTTTAATTTTTTACTCGGCATGTCCTAACATTGTTACAATGTTATTGTGTTGAACCGACAGCAGTTCGAAGCTCACCCAACTCCAGATCGATGGGTACCATCTAGACTGGGAAGTAAAGGTGGCCAGTACACAATGCTGATAACATTGCCATTTGGCTTTGGTCTCGAAATTGATGAGACTTGAACTCTCCGACAAACTGATTGTTGCAGTACTGCTTTTTTTTTAAATTTTTTTATTTATGATTTAAGAAAATTTAATTTAAAAAATTAAAATCTAAAGATTAAGCATTTTTACTGTAAAAAATCGGCTAATTAAACAACTGAAGGAAATAATAATTTAAAAATACGAGATTTTATTTAATGCCATTTTAACGTAACTATTCAACAGATTATTTTCAAATTTTGGATTTCCTTAATTGCATATTAACATAACGAAAAGCAATTATACTGCTGAGAATTTTTGAAATGCGTTTTTATGAAAATAGACTCAGTTCAAAATAAGTGTTCACGAAAATGGACGAAAACTCATAATAACTTGAAAAACTTTAAATTCCTAGAACGTAAATTTATCACCCCGTTTATAAATTTTTTTTTATAATAGCACCCATGGCAACCTTTAAAAGCAACTGTTGATTTTTTAAGTATTTAAAAAATAATTTTATAAAAGGTATCAAGTGATTTATGCAAAATTGGTGATATCACGTAACGAATTTACTTGGATTTATTATACTGCAAAAAAATTCTGGATAGGTATGAAGTTCCGGCACTTTGGATGCATCATCCATAAAATCTATTTTCACTGTAAAGAATTGAATAGTAATTTTAACTGTAATATTTATTTAATTAGTGCGATTCAGACATTTTACGGTAATTTTTACTGTAAGAATAACGGCACATTGGATTTCTTTTTTTTCCTAAACATGTTCCGGTAATAATAAATTTTACGATAAAAAGTACCGACACTTTCAGTACCGATACTTTTTACCGTAATTTGTTCCGTAATTTTTCCTAGTCTAGTTTATTCTTTAAGAATGAACAATACTAATGAAACGGAATCAAAAGATACGTCTATTTTTTTTTAAAAAGCTGAGGCCGCTTTTTAAAATACGCATTTTGAGGTGCGTTCATTCATGGTTTTACATCATTTTAAAGAATGTAATTTTAAACAACAAACTACAAAAATTGATAGAAATCAATCGAATAGTTCCTGAGAAATGGATTTTTTTTTTAAAAAAAGTCTCATATTTAAAATGAAAAAAATTAGAATTATTTCGACTATTATTAAATAAAATAGCAAAAAATGATAAGTAATTTTTAAAAATTGTTATCGTTATATGAATGAATTTTATAATTGGGATATAATATGGATTTTATAATATAATATGAAAAAAACACAACTACTTCCACTTCGAAAATTTTACTGGGAATAACATTAACCTTTTAGTTTAATTAATAAACTGAGTTTTAAATATGTTTACTAAATTCATAAACTTAGATAAAACAACAAAATAAATTATTTCAAAAAGAATTAGACTAATACAATTGCAACCTTGCGAGTAGCGACTTGTAACAACACATTTCGTTTAATGTTTATTTGTTGCTAGAAATCAGGTTCGCAGAAAATGCTGTTTACTAGTTAAATTTAGTAGGAATAACACGACCTGTGACGTAGGTTATAGTATATCCAATTGTGAGCAAGAAAATTTCAATTCACTTAAAAATGTCTCGAGATTTAAAATTTTTAGACTTTTTTCTTGACCAAACTATTAAGACCATGCTTCGCAGATTGTGGCTAAAAATAATTCGTGACAAATTAATCATTGGATCAAAATGTAATTAGGTTTTTCTTCCACTTTTTTTTTTCACTGTACACTATCATATTTGTTTTTTTTTTATTTCTATTTTAACACTAAATATGTGTAGTTCCCTATAGCGACAAGTTCGCTATAACAACAATTCTACCTGGTATTGTCTCTTTAGCCCTGGTATTGCCTGTATAACTGAGATTTACCGTAAATAAGGCGTCGCCAGTCGAAACTTAATCGTTCTTAGTTGTTTATCGAATCGTTATGTCTGCCACACCATGATTGAAACACTGATCTTCCTATAACTGTCCTTTTTAGAACACATATCTTCCAAACCTAGTAAGATGTTTGCTATGTGAAGTTTTAAGAAGCGTGGGAATTGGATGGAACACGCTTTCCATGGTTCAGTCCCCATGGAAAGCATGGGGACTAAACTGAGATGAGATATTTTATCAGTTATACCTTATCACATTATCGGGTGAACATTTCAAAATTGTCGTAAAAAAGATAGCTTCTTCTCGGCAGTCGTGTTGGCACTAGATATTCGAAAATCATTTTTCGAAGAATGATGGTAGGAGAAAAGGATCAAATTACCAAGCAAGATTATCTTATGCAAGTGGTTCTTAAAAGCAAGGCAATTCCTAGACTGAGAGAAACTGTGTTTGAAAGAAAAAGAAATAGTTTTACCATACCTCGTTTATACCAAAGTGAAAAGTATGATTAGTCATTCGTTGTTATTGGTGCTTATTATAAATTAACTCACTTTTAATAAAACTGCATTGCAGTAATTGATTTGTTTAATTGTCATTTCTCTATGTGATATAAAAGCACAATGGTCTCATACAATTTTTCATTGTTATCGGTGCATTTTTATTGGCCCCGAAAATCACATGGTAAAACCCAGTTTTTTCGGATTAATTTTTTATATGTTTTTGGTTGTCATCAGCATAAAATTAATAAAAGTCGTTAAAGATACTGTTTTTCTATTATAATATATATTATATGGTACCTTTCAGTTAAACGGGAGCAAGAAAATAACTATTTCGATTTTATTTATTTATTTTTTTGTTTATTTTTTCTATTATTTATTTTTATCTGTTTAGAAATATAAATAAAATAGAAAAAGTACGAAATAAAAAATTTCAAAGTTGGCACTTTTTGGCGACTTTTCATCTGCGCTTAGCTAACCGAAAAGTACCAAATATTTTTGTACCCCTAATTTAACGATAAAGACACACTTAATATTAATTTTTCTTATTCTACTCAACAATTATTATGTTTTTGATTTTGATTGTTTTCGAAATTAGAGTTGTAAAATACCTTACCTTACCCTGTTTTACCTTAACCTTATTATTCTATATTTTGAGATAAACTCATGTAAAACGGTGTCTAAGCTTATGAGTCACTTTGTAACATTATTTTTTTATTTCAAATGGCATTCATATACTATAAAAAATTATAATTAAGGAGATTCGTTAAATGATTAAGAACAAAACAATAAGCTTCATACACAATGGAATGTACAAATTTCATTTGATATGTTTTATGGGACCGGGATAGCCTGGTTGGCAGGGCGCTGGACTCAATTTCGTGAGAACGGGAGTTCGAATGTAGCTGGCCGAAGATTCCCCGTCCAGTGAACGGTGACCGATGCACGTTAAATCTGTCGGGTTACAAAGTCCTCCATGTTCCCAAAACAAATTATACCTCTGGGGGTACTGGATCGGAGATTGATCGTTCTCTGGTTCAGGTAAAACTTACGATCTGTGAATGGATTAATGGATTTATGAATGGGTCCGCTCTATGAGCGCGTGTGACGTATAGGCTTGGCGGAAGTTGAATTCTTGGCCACAGATGGCACCACTGGAAAACAAGAACAATCGCACCCCTTTTGTCTTAATAGCCTATGACAACAACAACAATATTGTTTGCAACAAAAAACATTACATTACAGCTGTAAACTCACGGAATTTGTTATAATAATATTCATTTAATTTTTTAATGTTCTTTTAAAAGAAATAATTACGAAGGAAAATTATAAATATTTACAAATGCATATGTCTTAATAGAATTCTAAATTAAATGTTTGAACATAGGATGGTGAGGCACAAGTTTAAGCAAATATAATTCTTTTTAGTACATATATTTTTAGTGAATAACCTCAAATTTTGTAGAAAATACGGTTTTATGCTGAAAAAATAAAACGACAATTATTGGGAAGCAATCAGTGGGGCTGATGAGCAGCATCGAACAGGAGGCCTATCCCATTAGAATTAAAAAAATCTTAATTTTGACTTGCCAAACGTTATTAAATTGTGTATGGTTTTTTCTGGAAAAAAAAATTTAAGAAATAATATCCTATATATTAGAATCAAGCTGACTAAGGATATAAAGCATTCGCCTCCCAAAGAGATGAACAAAGTTTGAATCCCAGCGGTGGCTGTTTAAAACGAATTCTGCTCCTAACTTGCCCCGACTAGAGTTTTGGCGAAAAATACCCTCAGTGGTAGACAGAGCATGGGTTAGATTCCCCTTGCTATCGGACTAACCGTTGGAAGTTTTCGTGGTTTTCCTCTCCAAATGCGGGTTAGTTCCATAAAAAAAACCTCTGCAAAGACTAGTTTATCTCAATGTT